CGCCTTCAAAATGCTCGTCGATTGTTTCCACTAAAGTGTCCAGAATACGCTTTAAGTATTCTTCGAAGGTGTGGTCGACCCTCGTATTAACGTCGAAGAAGGTTGACTGAAGAATATCAATGAAGCCGTCCTCGTCGAAGGTTAAGCCGTATTAAGTTTCTGGATCCGCCATTCATAGGAGCTAGTTAACAAATCTCCTCCCGTCTTGATAGTGTTATGAAGTATTGACGAAGAGAAAGAAGTTTCTCTTGCAAGTTGAGAGGGAAGAGAGCCAAGGAAAAATCTGAAATAAGTTTCAGTTTTTGTAAAGGTGGAGAGTTAATGAAGGAGAGAGGAGATTGGAGAGAGAGAGGGTCGGGTATGGGAGATTAGGCCGGCGGCAATGAAGAGGGAGTAGGGAATTTCTTTCCAAAACGTGAGACTTGATTTTGGAAAGAAATAAAGAGGTTTATGGGTATTGGAAATTTCGGCCAAAGGAAATAAAGAGGATTTGAATTATTTCCAAAAGAGTCACTTGAGTTTTGGAAATAATTCCAAGGAACTTAATGGGGCCGGCGGCTTATAGGCTAGGGGAAAGAAAATTGGAAGCTTTTAATGCTTCTTTAGATTTGGGAAATTAAATTAAGAATGAAAAATCTCATCCTTATTTAATTTAAAATTCAAAAGGGCAATATTTTGGAAATTTTCCAACAATAACTTTCTTAAATTAGGAAAGAATTTTCAAAATTCAAGATAATTTGAAATTTGAAATTAGGCTTCCCAAATTTAAAGTGAGATATTTATGGAAGGTATTCAAAGAGGGAAATTTGAATTTGGGAGGGGAAGAGAGGAGGGGTGGGCCGACGGGTTGGTTGGGAGCCGTGGGTTGGGTGTTGGCCGTGGGGGTTATGAGGGGAGGAGAGGGTCTCGGGTGAGGTGGGGAAACCGTCGGCTTGGGGGGGGAGGAAGGGGAAAGGAAGGGAAGAAAAGATACAAGAACGGAACCACGAACCCAACTTATCTAGGTTGGTGGGTATTGCGCCAATCTCCCTCTCCTAGGGATCTCCAAAGTTCTCTCCAAGAACTCCCAAACGCTCTCAAACACAAGTGTGGGAAAATTTTATCATCATTATTCATTACCTTGAAAAATAAAACATGAGGCTATAAATAGTCAAGTACATGGGACTCATGAAAATAAAAGAC